AGCTACCACTTCATTCATACTGACTCATCTAGCTAACACTTTATTCACACTCACTCATCTAGCTACCACTTCATTCACACTCACTCATCTAGCTACCACTTCATTCACACTGACTCATTTAGCTACCACTTCATTCACACTGACTCATCTAGCTAACACTCTTTTACACTCACTTATCTAGCTATATTTTTATTCGTATTGACTCATCTAGCTATATTTTTTTCCTATACTGACTCATTATCTAACTTTCTATTCTCATTGACTCATCTAGCTACCACTTCATTCACACTCACTCATCTAGCTAACACTCTTTAACGCTCACTTATCTAGCTAACGTTTTATTCATATTGACTCATCTAGCTATATTTTTTTCCTATACTGACTCATCTAGCTAACACTTTATTCACACTCACTCATCTAGTTAACACTCACTTATCTAGCTAACTTTGTATTCGTATTGACTCATCTAGCTGTATTTTATCCTATACTGACTCATTATCTAACTTTCTATTCTCATTGACTCATCTAGCTAACTTTGTATTCGTATTGACTCATCTAGCTGTATTTTATCCTATACTGACTCATTATCTAACTTTCTATTCTCATTGACTCATATTGTTAACTCTATTCACACTGACTTATCCAGGTAGCAATGAGCTTATTCACGCTGACTCACCTATAAAACAACCCGATCAAACTGACTCATCTACTTACCAAGGAGTTTACTTACGTTAATTCCCATGTGTTTAACAATTACCTTATTCACAGAGATTCACCAAGCTAGCAATTTATTCATCCTGACTCGCCCTGTTAACAATCAATTTTCTCCCTGTTAAAAGTCTACCAATAAGCTACTTCAGATTTACTCATTATTTGATAATCCGATTATTCACACTGACTCGTCTAACTACAATGTTTACACAGAATCACCTTAGTAACAAAACATTTTCTGACTAATTCATCTAGGTAGCAATATATTTTCACTCTCCACCCAGTTAACAATCAGTTGATTCACACTAGTTGACCTAAGTAGAACATTTGTTACACCATTTCACTAACAATTACTTTATTAACACAATAAGGCCGATAGACCTTATGCATATTCTCAATATAAATGATGGATCGTTTTGTTCACACGTAAAGCGCGTTTCTTTTTTAACCGTATACAAATAAGATTATTGTGCATGTGAAAACGTTGATGTTGTCATTTTATGTTCTATTTTTAACTGCTTTATTACCAGGGATTAACCTTATTCGTACTGTATCACTAATCTACCAGTTGTCTTATTTACCGAAATCCGAAGGGGACATCGATTGTTATTGCGTTTTATTATTTAATTCAACATCATTTTAAAACTGTTATTATAAGTTGGAGTCCCTGAATTTGAACGTTTATTTATTTATTTATTATTTTTATTTTTGAGGATTTAACCGTAATTTCTCAATTTTTTTTGTGATTTTTGGTGCTTCTCGATTTGTTTCCACTGCTTTGAAAAGTTTCTATCGCGGTTGAAGTCACGTGCCTTTTCAAGCCGCGTGACAAGATGGCGGCAAAAGAAGCTGATTCAATGCTGGAAAAGATACAATTATGTAACACGTTATTCCCTTTAAATAATATTTCAAATTTTTTACCAAACCTGATTCCACTATTTTACATGCTCTTATACCTTAATGATCTCCGTAGGTTATCTTAAATACGCTAATGATTCAAAACAAAGGAGTAACGAATAATTAAATAATAAAACAAAATAAAAAAATCAGTGTCCCCTACGAGCTTCCGTACTTATTTAAACAGTGCCAATAATGTACCAATTTTATTTATTTTTATTGGCAACCTAACCACCACAACCTGTTATTTACACTGCAACTTTATTTTACTAATTTTTCTTATTTTTATTGGCAACCTAACCATCACAACTGTTATTTACACTGCAACTTTATTTTACTAATTTTTCTTATTTTTATTGGCAACCTAACCATCACAACGGTTATTTACACTGTACCTTTTAGCTAACAACTGGTTTATTCTTGTTGACAACATAGCTAAAACCGAACAATAAACACTATACAACCTAACTTACAACGCAGCAAAAAACTGGCTTGTGTAGGTTGTATAGTTATTAAAAATCTGGCTTATTTCCGTTGACAATCGAGCTGAGAAACATATTATTCAAATTCACTCACTTGACCAATAATTTCCTTTTTGCAAGCAGCACACTCGCTTTTACCACCGGCTTTGCTTTCTCCTTGAGTACTCATATTTTTGTGCAAACTACTCAGTAGAGAGTCCAGGTGTCCTTTCAAAAAACTGGTCGGATGAGGAGGGTTATTGTCACACTCCTATCAAGAACAGAAATAATTAATGAAGAACACAGAAAGTAAATACTTTATTTACTTTTATTGGAGTATTATTTACCATCTATTCTCAGATATTTACCTATTTGTATAAACCGGTCTGTATCCACTGCTTATACAAGAGGGACTCAACTGTTTAGAATCAGATCTCACTTATTGAGAGTGGAAGTGACCGCAAGAGGGAGCTGTCGGAAAACGAAACCACTCAGGTTAGACCTGATTCAGTAGCTGCACCTCATAAAACCTTCGACATAGCAACATATCATTTGTGATTGGTGCTTTTTCCACCAGTCATCTTAATAGTTGCATACAGCCAGACCACACCTAAGTCTCCACACGGCACCTCACACACAGCTCGGGTTCGAAAATCTCACAAAATTCCCAAAAAAAGAGAAGTTTAGAGACAGATGGAAACGCGACGATCATACAGTTGTATGCACGAGTGGGTGTGTGTACTATTTTAGTAACTTAGAACGCGTATGAGCTACAGGCCCCTTAAACCGAAACCACGCTGACTTTACTGGTATTAAGATCTTTTTTTTATATATATAACTCTTCCGCATGTTTCAGTTTTATATATATAAAACATTAGCTCATTTCCACACCAGGGTTCTCCTTCTGTCAGGGTGGGTGGATGGTCTGACACGCGGGGGTGGTTGGCTCACATTTTTCTCCAGGATTATTTGTTTACACAGTGAAATTTGATACAGTTGCTATCAAGGTCAAAACACACGAACACAAACATACACTTCAATTAGACGAGATGAAGAATTGTTCCCTCTGGTTAGACGTCTGAACGTCTAGAATATTCTGCTCCTCATTGATGCAGCACGCTGAAGATCTACAAACTGTTCATCGCCGTAACAGTTGATTATTTGTGTTTCAAAGTTATGCTAATTCAGTTATAGCTGTTCCAGTATCAAGTAAAGACTATCCGAATTCTATAAGTTAACTTTATGTAGTAACGATGCAATATAAACATTACCTTACGATACGATAACAACTCACGAACCGGTGAAATAATTGCCTTTGTTAACTAAAAATAAACGGCCCTGTTCTTTCTTAATCACTTCATCACTTTCACTGCCACTTCATTACTAAAAACCATTCACAATTTCTGCACACAATGGTGTGCTGTACGAGGTATGCCAGATCTCTTTCTCCAAGTATTTAGCAAATGTCAGTCATTCGCTGTCGAAACAAACTTCAAAGCAGTTTCGATAAAAGCACGTGCGGATGAAGGACTTTGGGGTAATTGTTTCGCATGAATAACTAGTCGAAACGTGCGGTCCCCTGGTTGTTCAGCGGTAAGTTTACGGAGTTACAAAGCTGAAGTCCGAGGTTCGACTCCCCCCCGCGGTGGACAGAATGCCCAAAGCGCATTGTGTAGGCTTGCACTAAGGGGAGGGGGGGGGACATCAAAGAAACGTGCGAAACGCACGTTGTGCAGACAAGTCTCGAAAATAACTAGAATGATACTTTACGGTTATGATTTTGCAGGAAGTTTATTTTATTTTAAGCGCAAATCTGCCCATCGCAGGGTTCAAAACCCGAATTTCAGCGTTATGAACCCTCTTGCTTGCCACAGAATCAAAAATAATTTTATGTAATCAATTATTATAAGCATAAAACTGTATATTTTACTTTTCTTAATATTACATTTTTATTATTAAATTCTCATAAAATTATTTATAATATATTTTCGTGGGACTATTTACACATTGCATATAGACATTTTTTGGTTTCTTTACTCTCTTCGTATCATACTCGAAAACAAAAGGGTTTTATCCTTAAAAATAGTTACATCTATTCTGTTTTATTTCTGCTTGTGTTTCACATTATAAGTAGTTTAAGAATATTGACATAAAAACTCGATTGTAAAGATTGTGTTTTCCTTGGCGGGTTATAGAATAACCTTCTTATTCTAAATGAAACTGGCCCAGTGAGGGGAAAAAAATCACCGTGCCAAGTTAGTCTAAACTTAGCAGCAAACTGTCAGGTTTGACACCTGCTACCTCTTGCTTACCCCGATATCTCGGAGAAAAGATTGTGGTAGAATATGCCATTGGTGGGTGGTAGGCAGAACTTAACCTCTTTTTTTTTTTATGTAGGTTACTATGGTAACACTTCACCTTGACCGGTGGGGGTTCCTAGAAACTTAAGTTGAAAAATACATATTTTTATTTGTATTACTCTAGTAACATTGAAAGTTCAGTTTTTTCTCCTTCTTCTTTTGTGTGGTTTTTCTATTCGAAATTTGTGTGGACGTTTGTTTGGTTCTTTTTCTGATATTCGCCCAAAGCTATTCAAGGGTTACCCGCACATGGCCGTCACTAATTTTGAAGTGAAAGACTTGAATTCGGGGGGGGGACCACCTAACATATTTTAACTATTTTGTCTTTTTTTTTACAAATTCGTAAAAATTACATTTAAATATCACAACCAATAATAACAAAATATATCATTGTAAGTTTGTGGAGTCAAGTATTTGAATTATAGTACGGTGTTTTCCATTTTGTCGAATTCATCCCCTTCCCTCTAGCTTCACATTCTTTCTCCTCCCGGTGGAAAGGTCTGGATTCAACACTGGACTAGAGGGAAAGCAGCTAGTAAACAACAACTACCGCCAACTCTTGGACTACTCTTTTCTGACAAAATAGTGGGAATTGACTTCACTCTTATAAAGCACTCATAGCCCCAAATTGGTGTAACAGGACGCGAACGCTAGATTTTCAGATTCATAGTTTGGCTCGTTAGCCACTAGATCACGCTGGACCCTTGTGTGGACGTAATGAGCTAAACAGATACAGCATTTTACTAGTTTCAAGCTTATTAGTTTAGTTTGTGACGGATTTATTATTATATATTATTTTAATATAGATGTTTCTTTAAAATAGATTTATATTTAGAAATGTACATAACTTATACTGT